TCTTTTGCCGAAGCTGAGACTCTGGCACAGGATCGGGAACGTTGGAAGCACTGTCTGACGCGTCTGCCTCGACGACCCGAAAGGAGAAGCGGCGACGGAAGATGATGATGATAGTAAATACAATTCCGAGGCACTGAAACTTCTCCACCTGCTCCACTGCCTCTCCGCTAATCTGAAGAGAGCAACGGGCAGGAGAAGGAGAAAGCACTAGGCTTTTCGTTTTAGATGGGTTCACACGCATGCCGGTCGCGTCGCACTCGGCTGCGAACCTTTCTAAGGAGCACTAGAGATCAGTTTCAGAAGATGCTAATAAAAGAAGGTCATTTGCAAACAGCAATCTTCTCGACTTAACATCTCCTATGCCGATACCGTCATCGCCTTGGCAGCTCCTGAGTATTCTATCCATCTACAACACAAACAAGATTGGGGGCAGGACGGAGCGTTGGCGGAGACCAGTGCGAACATTGAATGGTTTCGACTTAACGGGATTAACTCTGACGCAGCACCTGCCATCAGAATCCAGTGGTTGGATGGCCCTTAGCAGCTGGCCATCTATCCCCTATGCACGAAGGTATGTCTACAGACTGTTGCGTGAAGTTCGTGTCCTTTTTGAAACTATTTGACCAGCAGCAGGGACCAGGGGGTTGTCTTCTAGCTTCGAAACTATCGACTGTTTTGGGGACAATGAACCACATTCACGTAACTTCACAACTAACCTATCTTGAAGAACGTCCGTAATACATGGGCAGAAACGTAGGTATTGGTCAGTTAGAGGACCATCCGCAGTATCTTTTGCATTGCGCATAAGTAAAGTTTGTATTAAGCTATATTTTTAGTAGGACTACGAACGCACGAAAGAATTACTCGTTAGCTCTATAGGCAGTACTTTGAAAAATTAATTTTTCGGCGAACCAACACATTGTTATATATAGTGTGTTATGTATAACACAATATCTGCTAGTCGTAAAATTCTGCTAAGAATGAATGCTGCGCATAACCGAGATAAAGGTAGATAGGGACTAAACACAGCAAACGTACTCAGCCGATGGTCAGTGCAGAAGCGGGTAATCAGCTCTATCCCACTGATTACTGCACATAACTGAGAAATCAGAAGTTCTGACACCAAATATTTTGCAAAATCAGGCAAACTGGTATTCTTCTCTTCTCATGAAGAAAGGCGACACTGAAAACCTCAAACACTAGAGTCCAGTTACACTCCTATCGCAAATATACTTTTCATCCGCATTATTTTCATTCTTCGTAAGGTCCTCGAGCTAATCACAATGGAGTTCCAAAAGAAGATCCAGAAGTTACAAAAAGGATATCTCAAAATCGAAATAAAGTTCAAGCTCCCGAAGACAAAATGATGCGAAGGCTCTGTCATTGCGAATGGCAAAATGGCAAAGCCACCAACAATGTATACTTCAGCCGGCAGATGGACTGCATGAACTCGTTGGAGGGGAAATCAGAAGAAATGGAGCATACGTCATCTTTAGCCAGCATTCATTAGAACATCATTACTCGATTCGACCTGCCGATGCGGGCGAAAACCAACTATTCGATTCAACTGTCCTACTCGCAGTGATCTACGGCACCGGATGTTGGTTTGCTAGTAAAGCCGATAAAAACATTCTGACAATTACGCAGAGCGAAAAAAATGCAAAAATCTTACGGAATCATGTTCAAGCGAACAAATTCGACAATGGATTTGAATAATAGACGTGAAACCTGCCTCATACGACTCCAATAGACAACCGGTGGATGCCCAGAATTACAAAATGGGTTCCGCTGGACCACCGACATCGATTCGGTCATCCAAGAGCACGATGGTCGAATCACTTGGTAAATGATGGAAGCAGACAGCAGAAAATACAGAAATGGAGGATCGTCGACTTACGCTCACGGCGCATCAGTAACGAAAACAAATCGGAAAACGGATTCTTTTACGTGGTGTAGAAAAATTCGAAATGAATTTCTAGTTATAACTTTTTAATTTTCCGTTTGTTGCAGTTTCGAAAACAGGCTGAAAAATACTGAAATTCTAACATCAGAGCATCTACTTGAAACGCAAACCTACTTTCAGAAAATTATACAGCTTAGCGCAACACATCCACCGGATAATTTTTCAAACAGCATGCAATCCATGAGGAATGTTCGGAAGTTAGTTAGTTCGTAAAAACCAATCCAGATAGATGACTAGCCATTAATGTAGCACTGAGAACAGACGTTGTCGAAAGAATATTGAACGCAACATCTCAAAAAGTAGGGCTGAAATTTTGGTTTACAGCGAAGGACCACGGTATTCAAGGACAATTTTAATGATCGAAACAACCACAGGGCCAAGTTTTTCAAAAGCAAGAACTGAACGGCATCAAATTTTACGTTTTAACGTCTGCTTGCAGGTGGCTGTTTTCAACGAGTGCCAAAATGACATGTGTAACTTAACAGAAACGCTCTCCAAGTAGGCACATACAAAACATTACATACTACGTATTAAAAAAATCGATAAATTCTATTAATTAAATTCAGCACATGAAAGTCTAAAACAGCTTTCCAACGATTAAACCGAAAACCAATGCTATTATCGCGACTAAGATTGCAATGCGTAACTTGACTTCAGACTCTTTAGCCGTCTCTACGATATGTTTGGAGCCCATAGAATCTGCCTCAGACCGAATTGCAGCAATCTAAAATCGTTAGCAGTAGAGGATGACACTCAACAGCAAAACCGAAAGAATCGTTTACCTTCAATCCGCTGTTTTCTTTCGACAACTTTTCCACTGTGCTCTTAAGCTTCTCGATTTCATCAACAGCTCGACGGTATTCAGCCTCGAGATTTTCTGACGGCGACGAGGTCGGAGTAGTTGATTTTGTAGCAACATAATTGGGACTCAAGATATCGCGGATGTGCTAAAAAGTAATTGGATGACGCATAATATTGAACAGACGCGACAGGTACATACTTTACAGCTGCTCATAGAAAGAAAAGGTATCAGTGACGGAGAAGAACAAGGATAGACATAAAGCTGATCAGTATTTGGGCTGTTCATATGGTAACGTTAACAACATGTATAAAGGCCGAAAGCGGAGAAATCTGTAATTTAACGAGCACTGCTCTTGACTGTAGAACAGCTTGAGGAAAACAAGATGGTAAAGTTGCAATTGCTGAGATGAGGACCTCGCTTCACGTTTATAACCGACGGCATATGCGACGTCATTCTTTCACAGAGTTTAAAGTGCAGCGCAGCTGCCATCACAATCAGAACTGTTTGCTCTGAGGATGGCCAATCATTGTTCAACTGGAACGTTCGCAGTTAAAAAATTTAACGTATTTTTGTGTCTAGAACCATCTGACTGACGATTTACTGAAGCTGAGGATATAAAACTGAAATGAGCTTCTGAGACTATAATTCTACTGTTTTAGTTCATCGGTCACAGTGATAGTAGTTATGCAGTAGATATAAATACCAGCTCTTGAAACACTGCACTGATGAGCGCGATGTGGTTCTAGGGGACGAAATTATGCGAGGTACATCTCACAATGCACGTGCTCAGATACGATGGAACCGTGGACTACTTAAATGATCCTCTCAGGCAGTCACGGGCAACGCGACTGTGCAAACTGCAGAGAAATCTGGTCTTAAAGGAGACATGCGTTATTTAGTTATACAGGTCATAATAATGTTTCTGCACCTCCTCCTGGCTTCTAGATGAGTAAGAAGCTATTTAACCGAGTTAACGGCTTTAAGATATTTTGGCCCATGCAGTGATTGATGCAACTCGCATCATTTTACTGACTAAACCTTGCTTGATCATTTTAGTTTACAAGGTAAAGTTAAGAAGTAGTTTACACTACTTCTGGATCCCCGTCCAAGTTGGTTTGAAGGGCACAAGCTTTCCAGTAGTTGCTGCAACAGTAAATCTACTGCACGGCCAAATTGTTACAGCTGGCCTGTGCCAAGTATCAGATTTAAAAAGCCCATTTTCATTCCAGTGCAAATTCCCAAGCACTACTGAACCTTCTCGCAAATGATGTCCACCGCAGTATCAGTGAAGGACAAGTAATAGAGAAAATCATTTAAGAGATGAATAGTTCCACAAAGTCTGACCTGTTTTACAGGTGGTTAATAACCAAGTGGAAAAATTGCAGTGGATCTTGCTCAGAATTTAACCTTGCATTCATTGAATTCGCAGTAAATTATTTAAACATTAAATAAAGAATTCTAATTTGAACTCAATGAAAGTTTCGTAATCTTAAATTTAAACCCAGTGCTTAGATGCTTGGCAATTTCTTTGGAAAAACAAAACTATAACTATCACGCATAAGAGGCTTTCACCGTTAATAACGCCGCCAGTTCGTTTATTACAATTAGCGCTTTTTCGTCTTGATGCACCGCACTGAACAACGATGTCAGGCTGATTTCTAAGCAAGCGGCGGTGAATTTACTGCTCTCACAGAAATGATATGCGCAGGGAGCGGAATGTTCGCGCTTACAACTTAGCAACCAAAAAAGAACCAAGAAATCTGTGATTCTAGCAGCCAACAGTGCAAGGGGATAGTTCTGCGCTGCATACTGTTCGTTTTTTGTCTGTAGAATATAAGTTAGATCATGTCTGCCATATGACCCGTCGGTACAAACTTATTGCATAGGCGGTCACTGAGACTCGCCTCTTAGGGAAAGGCACAATTGATCTGCACGATGGGTGGTCATTTTGGTTAGCGGGAGAGAATAGATTAAGCCGTGCCTATGTAGCCATCTTCTTGTACCGCAGGACAGGCCGAAGGGTGATTTCTGTAGACCAGGTGACGGAGAGAATCCTGGTCTGTGGCGTGATTGTTAAACAAGCGAGGCTGAAAGTCACTGTCGTCTATGCCCCAACAAACGTGTAGTGACGGCGACAACGACACTTTCTATGACTGCATAGAGTCGGTTGTTAGCGCTTTGTTGCGTCACAACGTCACAATTGTCACAGACTACCTAGTAGAGCAGAAGAGTACAGCACACTGCCAGGCGTATTCGGCTGTCACGACATTGACAGATGAATAACAACAGCAGGAGTCTTTTAAGCTTTTGCTCCACAAAGAGCTTAATCGTCTGTGGTACTATTTTTTTCATAAGCGTATTCACCAAACCACCTCGACATTCCACCAGTGGAAGGTCAAACACTCAGTTGAACAACGTCCTCACCAACCTCAAATGGTACAACTCGTTACTCGAGACTCGCGTCAGAAGTGGCCCCTGCACTGAGTCCGATCACCACATAGTCGTAGCGGAGCTTCGTCTAAAATATGCCATGTCGCATCGATGCTGTCTGGTTGAAACATCAGCTGATCGATGTCTACAGCCCAAAATATGACGAAGCGGGTGGTCCAAAAGGAGGTAGACAGTTACTTTAATGCCACGTTTAGTGCTCAGTTGGGAAGTGGTAATGTTGATGAATCTTACAAAGTCCAAAATAATCGTCATTTTCTTAGCGAAAACCGTAGCTAGGGTGAAGAAAAGGATCGCAAAATTAACCTGGGTTATGAGCAGACACTAACTCTGAATACAAAAAAAATCAAACAAACAAAGATTTACAACACCCTACCTCATCCAATCACCGTTTCATCCGTGCGGTGAACCACAGCTACACGCAAGACACGAACTTTGGCTGTAGTAGGAAATCAGTAAGATCGCTCTCGCAGTCAAAAAGGTTGAATGGTGAACAGTGCTCAAAGGGGTGTGACAGTTGTCCGGTAAGCAGGAGGACTCCGTTCGTCCTTACCCCAGATTCTAAGGATGTTTCACCGACAAACCAGAAGTAACGCCTCAAAAGATGGGCTGTGCATTTTATGCAGTTGCTCATCGATTGCTTTCCAAATGTCGTTTCCAGGAGTACTAAAGACTAGTACAGATCCACCCACAAAATTAGAAAGTCAAAAAACCTTGCTCGACCTCATGTGAAGAAAGCCTTCGAGGAGAATCGAACTCATCAGGAATTAATTACGCATGACGTATGAACGAACGGCAATATTAGAACAGTTCCATGCCGTTTCATCAAATTTTGATCTACAAACGTTTCCCAGGAGAACAGAAGTGTGAAGCATTTATCCCTGCATTTAAAGGATCAGGTGGTCGAGTGTTCCAACTATCGTTGTATTAAACGACTGCCAACTCCCGGGAAACTTTACTCCAAGACTATGCTCGAAAGGCTGAGGCAAGCAATTAACAGACATTGATTAAATCAAGCAAGCTTCCTCATGCAATACTCCTGCATTGACCAATTTTTCACTCAGCGTGGGCTTAATGG